AGAGAGAGAGAGAGAGAGAGAGAGAGCAGTCAGTGGCCTGGATATAAAAAAGGGGGGGTGTTTTTAATTGTATTGAACCTCCCCACACAGTCGCGATCCAACTGAATGTCTTGATTCCAGTTGGCTCCGCTATAATCATGGTTGCTGCGGTGAAATAAGCTCGGGTCAATTCAACCACTAGTTTCCTAATGGCATCGGACTATATCTTCAACCAGAGAGATAGAAACTATATATAACTCTGGCGAGCCTCAAGTTATATCGCCTTTGCTGGCCAACATTGCTTTGCCCGGAATGGAGAATGCTTCGAATGAGTGGGCTCAGCAACAGGCGGCCGAAGGCCACGTTATCCAAGTAAGATACGCCGATGATTTCGCTGTTCTTCACAAGGCTCGAAGAGTTGTTCAAGGCGCTCAAGGGTTCCTATCACAATGGCTCCAACCCATGGGCCTGCACTTTGTGCCTGATCAAACTCGCATAGTCACCACGGGAGAAGGATCAGACACACTCTGAAACAAAGAAGTGAAGAGAGATGAAGGGGTTGAGAAGTGGAGAGACTCTGTAGGAGGCTAGAAGGGTCAATAATCCACATAGCTCATATGGCCGCCATTTTGAAAAGACATGTATGCCAATTTTTTGTGAACCTGGTCGGAACTGCACGTTCACGCCAACTCAGCAGAAACATAACACCAGTGGGCCCTTCGTGGCCATTGTTTTCGAAAACCTGTAGTCTTTCTGGCTCTCGACAGGACAACTGATGTTCAGAGAAAAAGGCCACAAAAGGAAAGCAATCAGACAGCACTCTATGAGATTTTCTCCCTTGCCTGAGCTGAAAAGCTCATGTGTTTGCATGACTGAGTGTGCTCCTGGTTGGTGTTGGGTTCGAGGCCCACTCAGGGTTACTCCTCCGCCTGAGCAATACTGAATCTTATTGATTATTGATTATATAACATTATTGATTATTGATTATGTACCATATAGCTCAGACAAATCACTCTGTCCTGTGCCCTTAGCAGAATCCATGGCGCGACTTACCTGAAAGATTGTGTGGTGTTGCAGTAGAGTGGACTCGAAAAGGGGGGACGTGCGTGGAATTTAGCAGCAGAATTCGAGAAAACTATGAAAAAAAGTTAAAAAAACACCACAGTGGCAATTATGGATCCAATGACAAATTTCAAGATTTCAATGGAGCTCACTGAAGAAACAAGAGGGATGGTGGAACACTGGAACTCAAAAAGGGGACCCATAACTGAAACCAGGAGTGGAAATCAAGAATTGATTCAAGAAAGGTCTGGGAAAATGAAATAAAGAAAAGCTGGACCCGGCCACCCGTGGTGCAGTATCTGAAGTTTTGGCGCCTTATTTTTGTGTTTGATGTTTTTTCAAACAAAAATCTCACATGTCTTCTTTTCGCCATTTACAAACGCACAACAGAAACATCGACAACGTACCCAAGTTCTACCAGCTGCCTGGCAAGATCTATGTCATCAAGATAGAACAAATCGACGGGCGTGATTTGGCGGTCCAGGTAGTCCTCATATCTGTCAATGACAAGAAACAATGACCCCAAAGTTAGGTTTTGAAGGCGGTGAAAAAAAGTTGTAAAAATACTTTTGTTATACTTTGTAATGCTTTATTATAGTTTGTATTTCAGGTCTGTAGTAAGTTGAGGGCAAAAGTTATGAACACATAAATGCAGAAGGATTGCAACTGGTTCTATGTTTTTGGTTAAAATGGGGTAGATCCTCACATTATTATTGAGCCCCATGGCCCACATCACATCAGAGAGATTCGGACTCACGATCTGTCTGTTTATTTAACATTGTTGTCAACAGTTAGATGTGTTCCATCCAGCCGCCACAAGCCAGGCACACTGGTCATTGTAGAGCAATGCAGACATCAGGATTCAAACTCGTGATCTCTCTGTTTTTTCAACTTTATTTAGGATTGTCAATAGTTACATGTGTGCCACTGAGCCACAAGCCAGGCACACCACTCACTGCAGAGCAATGCAGACCGATGCCCGCACATGTCGCCTGTTTTGAAAATATGTTCAAGGATTCCAGATCTGTTGCTTTAACCTGACACCAGCCCAATCGCTCTTCTGTAGATTAGGATCAGTCCGATCAGAGCAGCACTTTGCAGTTCATATCAGAGATTATAAAAAATTATAATCGGATAAGATAACCGAATGAGAAAAAGGTCCCCGATGAGTCGTGAAACTTCCCCACTTCTCATGAATCAGACAAGACGAAAAATTCTTCTTCTTCTTCTTTGTATTTTTCCCAGTTCTCTTTCCTCACAAATCCAGTTGGTAAGTGGAAAATCAGTGGGCGTAGCTCAGTTGGTACACCCATGAACTGTTGAAATACAGACCTAAGCTTGAATCCAGATGGAACTAGCCAAATGAATTTTGGAATTACCTGGGGCAGGTGAGTTCCGCGATGATATCTCAAGGCCAGACCCCTTTTAATTTTAAGAAAAGAAAAAACAAAAGGAAAAACAGAACAATTCAACGAAACAAAAGAAAGAGGGTGTACAGTAGTTGTCAACATTGAGGACATACTCACAATAGGACTTTCTGGATGCAAATGTGGCCAGACACATCCAGGTCTGGCCATAAGTGCAGTCAGATGCATTTACGATAGTGCTGTAAAGGCAGAGTAAATACTAAGTAGTAAGTAGTAAGTAGTAAGTACACTTTTCAGGACATCCATTAAAATTGAAGTTTGGAGTCTTTGGACTGAGCTCTGAAAAGGGAGAGCAAGTGCCCTTTTCATGACATCGAATAAGATTGGGACAATCTTCCACTTTCGGTTAGCGCACATGGACACATGTCTGGGTTGCACTAGATAGCTGCTGGGTTCCCTTCCCAGTTGAGAGCAAGTCTAGGCCCAGGTCACAGCTGCTTCAAGATGATCGTGCACCCGGATCAGACGATCCGACTAAAGACAGCAAACAATCGGGGTACCAACTTGTGTACAACTTGACAGATTGTGCAGAGCACTACAAGGACTGTAAAGAGTGCCTCATAAAAATAAGTTTACTTTGAACCACCAATACTTGGCCCATACATCGGCCGTGGGGCCCTCATTGAGCCAAAATAATGTTATATTTTAATTCTTCCTGGATTTGGTATTATCAGTCATGTGGTTTCTACTTTTTCCAGAAAGCCTGTGTTTGGCTATTTGGGCATGGTTTATGGTGCGCTGTGTAAGGCGTATTTCATCGATATCGGACGCCGACCGAAGGCAGGACACAAAGTGCAGCAAGACACGCTGGACACGAAAGCAAGACGCAAAGAAGTGGGCATCTGGTCTCCTTCCTGTATTTATCATGGAGTAAATCAACCAAGGGTAGCGTTGCCGAAATGCGCGTGGAAAAGCACTTGGTCAAACCGAGCAACAGGAGGCTTGCACCTCCGAGGCCGGCTCGGGAGACAAAAGTCGGAACGAATCCGGAGGCCGTGAATGTGAAAATGTCAAATGGTCATTGACGAGATTTATCAACGGTGGTGAGGAACCCGAAAGTTGAGGTGCATACACGAAATGAGCCCGCGGCCGATGTATGGGCCAAGTGCTGGTGTTTTAAGAAGAAGCTCACATTTGACTGCCATTTTGGCTCAATGGTACGGAGTCTACGGACCTGGGGCCAAGTCCCACTAGGCCGGATTCTTCATTTCTGGCCATTGATCTTCGTAATCTACAGTCAGAAATCAAGAATTCGGGTAAGTAGAACTTGACCCCTGGACAAAAGTTCGTATGTGAATTATACTGCTAATCACTGACGCCAGTTCAATTATGATCATACTGTGGCTGAACGGTATGAACTCTTATGAAGTCTACAGAGTAGAATGGACCTGCCATTGATAATGAACAGTTCATGAGTGCAAATCCCATTGTGCTGAGAAACTCTCGGAGTCGCAAGGATTTAGGAGCAAGTGGGGCGACTGAAATGTCAGTTACATCTCACATCTGGGGCGACTGAAATGTCAGTTACATCTCACATTGGTTACCTCTTCAAAGAAATGGAAAAATATGGAAAGTTGGAGGGGAATTCAATGTTCAAGGAAGCGGTCCCTTGGCCATTACAGAGGGCAATTTTTGAGTTTTGAATTGTTTTCGTAATTTGAGAATTCAACTTATTTTCGGTAATCCATCATTACATAATAACACATAAAAACTCAAATAAAATACACATAACCAAAGGAATTGCGTGAAATATGTAAATTGATCTAATTGAGGCATTTTTTTTAAGTGCTGCCACTCAGAGGTTTGCTGTGCCCATTGGGGAAGGAATGCTGGGGAGTACAGTTTCCAGTGGCTGATGCTTTGATGATTAATGATGGACAGTGGTCCCTAGTTCCAGCAGGTGCTGTTCCGCACCAATGGATTTAAGACCTTTAAAATTTAAGTCAAAAAAAAAGAAAGAAAAAGCCCACAAATTACAAGTGGTTTACTGGACAAAAATAGTACGAACAAATCAAAAGGTGGGTGTGGATTGTCCAAGGGAAGAGGAAAAAGACAGAAAAGGCACTGCAAGTCTTCGAATGGTCTTGGTTTCACTTCGGAGTCCTGCTCTGCACGCAAGGTGAAAAGAAAAGGGTGCAAAAATCTTTAGAAATAAGAACACCTTGAATCAGCAGCTTTTCTATAGGCTAACAGGACCATTCCCAAAGTAACAAAGGATAAGAGCAGAAGGATGGGAAATAGGGTAAACATCAAACAAGAAAAAAACAGGCAAAGCAGCAAGGCAAAAAATGGAGGCAACACATAGGCTGGACGGCACTGGGGAGGCGGGAGGGCAGATCATACACGAGTAATTGCAAAGACATAAGGCAGTAAAGGAAAAGACCAGCAGGATGGAGAAGACAATGAACAGCAACCAAGAAACAACCAGGCAAGAGCAGGGAGGCAACTCATAGGCTGGAGGGCACAGGGGGAGGCGGGAAGGAAGAAAGCACACAAGGTACTAAGGGAAAGGCGTGGCAACAAGGCATAGGTCTATAGGATGACAAACAGCAGCAAGGGACAAAGGCTGGAGGGCACGGGGGAGGCAGGAGGGCAGACGACACACAAGTACACCAAGCAACCACACACAAGCACACCAAACAGGCCAAGCAAACAACACGTAAGCATGCCAAGCGGATGACACACAAGCACACCAAACGGAACAAGCAGACGGCACACAAGCACACCAGATAGACAAACTAGGAAAATTTCAAGTCCCAAAATTTTTCAAAGACCGAAAAAAATAAAACTTATGATAGATTGTTTCGTCGGAGTTGCACCGACTCATCAGGAGGCTGAACCCTCGACAATCTGTGGAATCCCCGTATTGATGGTTTGTGTCATGAACCCTTTGACCCTTGTTGAAGGCAGACGGTCCACAAGCGGAACACAGCAGCAAGCAACAACTCAGCGAAGCACCAGGCAACACTGCTGGAGCAACCCAGCTGCACAACGCCAAAAGCAACTGCAAGGAATGACAGGGCAAGCGGGCGTGCAGCATGGCAACAGCATAGCGAAACACAAGGTAACACCAACACAGCAGCCACACTACACGGCACACAAGCAAGGAATGCGGAAGACAGGGCATGCAGATGGGCATCAAGGCAGCAGCGGAGTGAAGCACAGGGCAACACTAACACCGCAACCACATGGCACAGTCAATACAGCAGCTTGCAAAGAACAACATGTGACGCAAGCGAGACAAGCAGCAAGTCATCAGTGGAGTGCAGACAAGGCAGTCTACACATCCAACACGGAGCAAAGCGGCACATCACCTACTCACATCACGATAGAACCCCATAGACTGTTGGTTCCCACCACCTGCTGCTGTATTTCTTTATTTCTGGATTTTTTCTGAGTACTTTTTGTATGTCTGCATGAGAACCTTTCAGAAGTGCTAAAGAGTTGATGAGCGGTGGTTTGGAGTGCCTGGAGGAATGTTAGGGGGGGCGCTCTATTTGTGATGTCTATGGTGCGTATGGTCTGTGGGTGGATGACAGACGTCCGTCAGAGTACCTCCTTGGCTCAACAGGTGGTGGGAACCAACAGCCTGCAGGGTTCAACCGTGATCTGAGTAGTTGATGTGCCGCTTTGCTCTGTGTTGGATGTGTAGAATGCGTTGTCAGCGCTCCACCACTGCCTTGCTGCCCGTCCCGCTTGCGTCACACCGTGTGGTGTGGTTGCGGTGCGGTTGCGGTGTTAGTGTTGCCCTGTGTTTCGCTCCGCTGCTGCCTTGCTGCCCATCTGCGTGTCGTGCCTTCCATGTCCGTTGCTTGTGTGCCGTGTAGTGTGGCTGCTTTGTGGTGTTACCTTGTGTTTTGCTTCCCTGTTGTTGTGCTGCACGTCCGCTTGCCCTGTCGTTCCTTGCAGTTGCTTTTGGTGTTGTGCAGTTGGGTTGCTCCGGCAGTGTTGCCTGGTGCTTCGCTAAGTTGTTGCTTGCTGCGGCCGCTTGTGGACAGTTTGCATTCAACAAGGTTCAAAGGTCTGGCCAGTACCGTGAGTTACCCTTCACGTGCACTTGGGTGGGTACA